TCTGAACACTTCATTAGGGATTGTCTAAAAAAAAATGGTAAGATGAGAGGTGAGACAAATTTGGTATTAGGGTCGAGTGATGACCCTAGTGAGTCTTATTGAGTATTACCCTAGTTACTGTATTTGCATCAGTGTGTAATCCTTTTCTGCATGTGTGTGATTGCTCAATTCAGTTGCATGATTATATGTTGCATTTCAATGTGTTTGATATGTGCATTGGCATAAATTGGAGTGGTTTTATTACTTGGTGTAATTATTTGCATGCATAGTAGGTTGGGATACATTAATAGTGTGAGTGTGTGTCTTTTGGTAAGGTGGAGTATAGATGCCTAGGGGTACATTAGTGGTTTGTACCAGGGATGTGGAGTGTGGCATTTGGATCACGAGTGGAGATGTGATCAAATGTTTGGAATCATTTATCTGTGAAGAGACCCTAATCGTGTGGAGTGTGAGAGAGGCACTTGTATCACTTCTATTAGGTGGAGACCCATTATCTACGTAGGTTCGGAGAAATGATGTGGTGATAGAGGATTATCCCGTGAACTTAGGATCTATAGAGGCTTACCAGTTTGTTATGTTTTTTGAGTGATTAGTCTAGTGAGCATTGTGGCCGATGATGTGAGATATGTGTTTTCGAGGTACGAGCAGCACGTAATGGGATATGATAAGTGTGGTGAGATCTTTTCGTGAGGTTATTTATGCATTTGTTGCATATGTGTTGACCGTGTGTTTGATTAACTTGATGTTAATCTATTGTTCTGTGTGAACATATTTGAAAAGATTTATATGTTATCCTATATATGATATCTACATCGCATGTTTATTTGCTCTTGATTGATTGTTGTTTTTATCTGCTTCTACTTGAATGTTCTTGATCTTAACCCCAGTGAGTATATGGAGCAGGTATATTATGTGTTTCGAGTTCGAAACACGAGGTAATGTTTGTGATATCAATTTTATTGGTTACCTTGATTGTGCAAGTATAAACTGTGTGTTTTTGTTGGTTACAGATTTATTGGGAATCAATATGAAGATTTGTTGGATTTTGACACCCAATAAATCTAGACAATGATGTTAAACCGTGTTTTGTATTTGGATTATACTTCATAGGCATCGACTGATGAGTGAAGTGAAATGTCGACACCACAATCGAATAAACCATTCCTTCAACTTATTTGGGGCAATTTGCAGTAACGTAATTGCATTAATATTGCTCATGGCCCGACCCATTACCTTTGAAGGCTTTAAGGTTGTTAGCCCACTTATCTCCTTTGTTATTGGGCCCTATTGTTTGACCTAAAGCTCATCTCTATTCCTAACCTATTTAATTGCTTCTCCATTACTGTAGTTGGTGTGTGTGAAAGTGAAGTAGCCGTAAGTTTTGAGCGAGGAGCGTTCTTCTTGCTTTGTGCTTCTCGGTCTTGCTTTGTGCTTGACTGTCCTCCTTCTTCTCTTGGCCTTTGTGGTTGATTATTGTAGCTACTATATATTCCACACCTTATCCTTGGTGGGCAAAACCTGAGCAACCGATTGGGACGTTGGTTTGGGATTGGGTTTGTTGATTGTGCTAGTTGATTGGAAGAAACTGAGCCCGAATCTTGTGTAGATTGGAATCCATATCCAACAGTGACCTACAGTCCTTTTAGTGTTACCATTTTCATTTCATTACTCTGAAATTTGTACAAATATGGCAGTCCTGCAAGGTTTTGGTTCAACTTATGAATAACGCAACTTTAACTATGCCGCATTTGTATTTGATAGGTGAAATGTTCAATTCATTTTTTTTAAATGTTAAATGTGACTTTGATACATGTGAGAGTGTGACTCACAAAATATCAGTGCTATGATATTTCATCATTGTGTGTTAATGCGTCCTTCGCATGGGTGGACCTAGGGGGGTCCTGGGGGGCACGTGCCCCCCAACTTTCAGATTTATTATTATTATTTTTTTTTGTAAAATCACGTTTGGTATCGATTGAAATTTTAATTTTAATCTCAATCAAAGTTAACAATTAATTTTATTAACATATTTCATGAAATCCATAACTGTTTAACTTTTATCAAAATTTACTAAAAATTTGATTTTAATCTCCACCAAACAGGGGCAAAATCACAATAAATTTGAATTTCGATAACATGCTAATTTTTAAAAAATTTCGACGATCGTACG